TTTCAAAATTTTTTTCATCAAACCATATTATAAAAATGAGTTATGACCACTTCAATCAATTTTGAATCAACAAAAATGACAGATGTAGAGTTTGAACATGTTAACCTCTGCAATGCTGAAGGAATACGCATACATGTACATGTACCAGTACATAATTAATGTTTTATCAAATGTATATTCTGGCCTGTGGTGTAGATGGTCAGAAAACTGCAGCTTAGCAGCGTTTATTGTGGTGTATGTTCATGAAGGTGTGCATCCCATCTTGGTGCATTCATTTTGCCCAATCAAAGTTTTGGGAAGCAAAAGTGAAGAAATCAAGGCACTGATTAGAGGCTACGCTCGCAATGTAAGATACCGGTACCATGCCCTCATTTTCGGGGAGAACAGACTAGTTGAATAGATTGAATGTGCAGGTGTTGAGCAGGAAGACGACATGTTATTCTAAACCAAGTCAGGTTTAGGTTTCGCAAAGCTGGAAACGAGAAAACCCTAGACTTGTGTTTTGATCTATAAAACACTGAAGTAGCACGGATGTCAATATGGATCCAGTCTTTTTCCTTGTTTTCATACTAAACCACATTCAGTTCTACATTGTAACAATCACAAATCAACACACAATTACGGTTACCCAACTGCACACATACATGTACAGTGTAACCAGGTTTTTAATGATATTTTGTGAATATACCGGTATTTAATTAACCTCAACAAGTTCAGCACAGCGGTACTAGAGGGCATACTGTTAAAGGGGAATTCCAGGCTAGTAAAATACTCTATCTAATCTAAAAGAACATGAGGCGACATACAAGCTCCACCAAGAGTTGGCTTTTCTTTGTTTTCAAGAGCGGCTCACAATCCCTTTATAGTCCTGATTTCTTGCCATTCATCAGTACAAAGGACGCGTCCATGTTATTTAAAATTCCTGCGACATCTGGGAGCTTATGATGTAGTGTCTGAACATAGCTCGAGCAACACCGTTTTCTAAGCGACAGTATGATACCCAGACCTGGGTAATTGCTTACGGATGCGTGTTGTGTAGAGCACCCGACCGTTGTATGGCATCCATCACTACATACACTACATGTAAAACTGAGAGAATAAGCTTGAAACAGCACAACTCAACTGGTACTCGTTTGTACCTGACAACGCAATACACAAGATCACCGCACAAACACTGTACATGTACATGTACGTACACACATGGCCGGCCGTGGCTACCACATACATGTACATGCATACATGCCCATGTACCGTATACATGTACATGTTCATGTACATTACAGGGTCTTGGATGACTCAAAATTTGAAAACAAAAGGGCAGCTCTCATGATGGCAGCCATGTCGTAGGAAAACTTTTTGTTTTTACCATTTCCTTGACAGATTTTGATTTAAAAAAATGTAATTTAAAAAAATGTAATTTAAAAAAATGTAATTTACACTAACACTTGACTCTCTTCAAAATGTCACAATAATTAAATCAAAGGAAAGTTCCCTTCTCATCACAAAAAGGATTCACAGCAGAATGTGTCTACCTCCAGTCTTCCAAACAAAGGCAGTGATCTGAGTCTGGTACATGTATTTGTAAAGTACTGCAACACAGTCCAATTACATGTACCACACATTGGTGGGCATCTCATGGATAACCACACAACTGTAATGTGATAATCCACATTTTATTAGCCTGGCCAAGGGCCAGCTTTGTGCGAAAATTGGATCATGTTGCCAATTTATGCAGGTACCCATTACTCAGGCGGTGCTGATGGAAAAACTGTACTGTGTAGTTTCTGCAAGTGCCGAGGACAAAGCGACGTCACACATTTTACATGCGTGCATGTCTTCAAATGCATGTGGTTGGTTTGCATCTCACAATAAAGCTCCATGATCTCACTGAGTCAGCAGGCAAGGTGTTTGTATGATGTCTACATTGGAACATATATTGCACATGGTACATTGCACATTGTGCATTGTACTTGTACATTGCACACTGTACATTGCACACTGTACATTGCACACTGTACATGTACATTGCACATTGTACATTGCACATTGTACATTGCACACTGTACATGTACATGTACACTGCACACTGTACATTGCACAGTGTACTTTGCACACTGTACATGTACATTACACATTGTACATGTACATTGCACATGTACATTGCACACTGTACATGTACATTGCACACTGTACATTGCACAGTGTACTTTGCACACTGTACATGTACATTACACATTGTACATTGCACACTGCACATTGCACACTGTACATGTACATGTATATCTGGACAATACTGCTTTGGTTTTGAAGGGATGATTAAAAAAGTTAACCAAACCTGAATTACACATAAAAAAAAATAAGACATGTAGGCCTATGCAGATGTGAAGAAAGTACAAATTTTGCATTTGTTTGGTTCTCTACATTGAGTTTGTTCAGGACCATCCTTATACTCTTTCACTTTCCTGTATCTTGACATTAAAAAATACTTTTTATAATTTCATACATACTGGCATTACGGACAGAAGAACAACACTGATGTACAAAAGCTGAATTTAAAGTGAACGAGGAAGAAATATTCATATTCACAAAATGAATCCTAAAGTACATGTACAAGGAAAATGTTTTGACTGAACTGACCCTTTAAAACAGATGTGCAATACATGTAAGACTGATATTTCAACATCAGGGCAAAATTAATCACCCCGTTTTCATTTTTATAATAAGACATGTGGTACCCGTACCACACCATCACAATTGCCACTTGCCATTTCAAGCTGGTGGCCATATGTTCCTATCGGTTGGAGAGCAGACAGCACTAATAAACATTCTCAAATGAAATTGACCAAACCATTCAGTATGTTGATATATGGTTTGTTACTGCAATCCTTAAACGTCGCCAATTTGACTTGTTACATTTTTCCCCCAACAAAGAACAAAAAATCTTTGTTCAATTTCGCGTGTGACACACACCACTTAACCCACTTAGAAAGAAGAACCCATAACAGGAACATAGAAATCACAGACTCGGCGATGTGAAATTGTAGAATAATGAGTTTGTTCCGTTCTGAATACACAGCGTGCTCTTTTGGATGTCTGTCTGTGACCCTAAGCTGGGCTCTTACTTCAAAGCAAGCACAACCTCTGCACCACGTTCTAACAGGCAACAAGCCCCTGACAAATCCATGGACAAAAATTACAGTAGAATATTTGGCCACAAATATGCCAAACAATCCAGTGATTGCCACATGCTTCGCTTATGACTCAATTCAAGACTTGAAAGTTGCAACAAATGATGTACCGATACATGTATCTTTTGTTGCAAGCATCAACAGAGTCACAAAATCTTCCTGGACTAAAACATCACCGAGGCAAAACAAAGTACCGGTATGTGTAACTCAGTCACACATGTACAGCATTTCAATAACATGTTTAACTGGAAAAAGCAAAACAAGCAATGAGAAAACTCACAGCTGCACAAAAGTTGATGCACTCACTGAGGTTTTCTCCATTTCAATGGTAAACAACTGCACGATGGGAAAATCAGCTCATGTAAGGAACACTGTGGTATAGCTACAGTGTCTTTAGTCGGGGGAATTCAAATCGTTATATTTATGTGCAGTCATATAACTCATGCACCAGAGTTTATTCAAATGTAACTCGCAAATGACTTATTTTACGAACATTTTAAGTAAATGTAACACCTCTGCTTCCATGGTACCGGTACATGTATTACACACCGTGCATACCCAAAAAAATCTACAATACCAATAATATGTAGGCCCTACATGTACATGTGCGAGAAAAAGCTGGAGACTAGTAACATGGTTTCAGAGCCAAATATCCAATGTTCAAACAACAAAGTCAGCGACTCCATATGACGCCTAAACTTCAGGTACCAAAACCTGCCACAACATTGGTATCATCAAGATGGTGCCACCGGCTATTTTTACAATGCATTTCCTTTTTCACTGCGCATGTGGTCACTTGGCCATGCTGTTTTAATTAAGGACTGGGACACAGTACACCACGCAAACAACAGGTCCTGTGTTAGGGGCGGCATACCATGAGTTCAGAAAGTCACCTGTTCTTCCGTACTGACACCATCCAGCTTGTTGTGTCTGTCTGGAATTTAGTGTTTTGACTGACTGCACCGAGTACAGGGGTAATATGAGGGGCTCATGGTACATGTATGTCCAGGTACTGACTGCTCCCCTGTAGCCATGACTGATCACATGTCCAGCCAACTTTCCATGACCCTGCCTTGAACAGGAACTGCACCTGTATGTGTATGCACCTGTACATGTACAGCTACAATGTACCGGTACATGTACATGTATACATGACACATGCCCTTCCTGCTGCTAAATGCTATTGTAATGCAATGCAAGTTTACCCCTATGCTCTGCCTTCATTATGTTTTACGTTCATGTACAAAATGTTGTCTACATGTACAACTGCAATACTGATTAAATTCAAGTACTGGTACCTATGAATGTGCACATGTACATGTATATGGACGTCCTTAGATACATGTACTATGTCGCATAGCCTGACTTGGTTAGCCTTGTGGTGGTACCTGCTCTTTCTTGAACAGCCTTACAGTGAGCCTCTTTCTGTTGTACAGCTGAGGAACTGAACCTTTACAAATCTCTCCAGTACCAATGCTTAAGAATTCCTCAGTGAATTTGCGTGCACTTAATATTCCATGCATTTCTCACCATGTACTGTACATGTATGGCGTCGAGTATAACCATGTCTGATCACCTGTCTCCCAGGTTTGTTATGACCATATGCGTTCACCTGTTGAGCTGTGCACAGATGACTGACAGGTATACTACATCCACCTGTTGGATTTTTCCTCCAAGTGTTCATCAAACCCTCAACAATCATTACTGAATACATGTACATAATCATATACCAAACCTTTTTATCTTCTATCATGATCATGCCTACTGATCTTTCTGGTACACGTGTTATGACTATGGCCTTCTGTGTGTTACCTGTCTTGCTCTGTCTGGTGGTATCAAGTTAGTCTCTACTCCAGTCTTCGTCACCTGTTGCTGTGACTCCTTCAATTTGTCGATGATGAAAGAACACACGTTGTTGAGGGCATCTACAGTACCTGTTATCAATGCTACACGCTCAGTTGTACCTGCAATTATTAAAATGACAGGAAAAAAAAAACAGATTAAGTTTCCATTTCCAACAGTCAATGAAGGAGGTCGTGGGCAAAATGGGATGACGGCTCTTGACCAGAAATACACTGGATGTTCTGAATAATTTGCAAAATTTTCAAAACAGGAATTTACCTCCTACTGGTAAATTAAATGTTCTTAAAAATGAAATGTAAGCTCTTTGAAGAAGCATATTTACCTGCCAAAAATTAACATACTGTATATGTATGTCGATGTACGTGTATATCAAAACCAAACATATGGTGCATGTAGCTTGTATAGCATTCTGAAACATTACACATGTACACTGTGGGGTGAGGCAAAGCAATTTTAAGAGCATTCTGTGAAGATTTTCCTTCAGCATGCATGTATTTTTTTGTACCTGTCAACACAATTGAACAGGCTGCTCCAGTCAAATTAACCAGCAGAATAAGAAACAGAAATGTTGCTGGGAGGGGGGTTATGGTTAAGAATGCTCATCACAATTCATTTTCCAGCATTTCTGAAACATACTTAGTACACGCATGCATGAATGTACATGTATATACAAACAAGCCCCAACAAACCAGAAATCCATCTCTTCTTATTGTGGCATGCATGTTGACTACCGGTAAACACAGCTTTCCAACGGCTGCCGGGACTGAAAAAGTCATGAATTTTCATTAAAATTGGATTAAAAGCCTCCACTCTGACATCAAATATTAATGGCTAGTATGAATCCGTGAGGAAACATCCACTGTTGTGTCAGGACGGCGCGGGTGATTCTGCCGAAAAAAAAAACCCTGCAAAAGGGCCTGATGGAGGTTTTGTAACCAGGCATGGCCCAGACGGGTTGGTCATCACCTCTCCGAGTACAACCCTGTGTCAGTGTTACTGCATTCTCCGCGACTCTGGACAAGTCTCTCAAACACTGTCAGGCCAGCCCGACATATGAGATCATGAGATCATTATTTCTTTGGCAGATTTAATTCCTGAGGGTGAGCCATGGAACAGTGTGACTGATGGTGCTTCCATAAGTTTAGCTTTTTGTGGCTCACTTGAGTGAAAGACTCTGACAGATGACCATTCTTTGTAAATTGTACACCAATTTTGGAATAGTGGGGGTAACTCATTTCACCTCTCAGCATTGTTTTGAAAATGTGGGAACAAACACAGTTGAATAAAAATATGGAAAAATAAATGTAAATTTATTTCTCACTTGAAGTTTCCATTAAAGGTTAGAAAATATAATTAACCAGTGAACATGCAGAATTTGGGTACAAAGCCCAGAAATGATATTGTAGGTTTCTGGTTGTAAGATACAGCATGCATGTCCATGTACAGGTACATGTACCTGTCTGGTAGGGAAAGGATTTTGCAAATATATCCCTTGAAGATTCATTAGTTTTGAAAAGAACAAAAACATAAATGGAACAACAATTTCATTAAGTGACTGAGGGCTCAGATCAAAGTCAAGCGCTGGACATATCCAAAATCAACTTCTTAGGAGAGTGGAGGAACAGAGCCATGGCTACCGAATGACACTGTAAACATGGTGAAGCAAGAAAATGAAGTGAAAAATAAAAGCATGCTCGGGTCAGCGCCGAAATGTCAAACGTCCAGCAGTATTGATATTTCTTCGGAGAGAGAGAAGGAGTCCTCCATTCCCAGTCGCACTGCAGCAGCATTTCAATACAAAGCTTGCAGTATTCCATTTCCTTCCAATCCGCCTGAATAAATATACACTCACCCTACTTTTACTCTTTTCCCCACTGCGCATTCCTTTCTGCCATACTTACAGCAAATATATGAGTATGATAATTTTTGCTTGGGGGAGGGGGCATTTCCAGAGGTTTTGTTGGGACACTCAGGAAAGCCTCCAGTGAATAGCAATCACAAAGTTAAGAGTGATGTACGGGTACATCCCTTGGCAATTTAATACTTATGTAAACAATAAAACATTTGAAAGGAAATAGAGTGGGTCTGATTTGCATTTTAACAGGCTGATTTCTCAAATGTAATTGACTTTGCATGTCAGTTTGGAATACCGAGAACTTCAATAAATATGTATGTATGCTTAGCATAAAGGAATTCCTGCATGAAAAAATCAGGTATGAAAAACAACTTTCTGTTCAGTATTGAATGAGAGCGTGTACACTGAGGGCCAATGCTAGAGTTCAGGAATGTTGTCATTAAACAGCAAACGGTACACATAGTGCTGGCACGGCTTCTGACCCTGGTTGACCCTCCTCCGTCACGTCCCTGGGGCCAAAAGGTCCACATTACAAAAAGACCCAAGGATTTGATGACCCATTCAACTGGGGAACGCGCGCAGGACTTGGGCTATGCACAAAAATAACACTACCAGTCTAGGAAAGAAAGTCCAATCAAAACACAATAACCAGGAAGAAATGAGTAAAAATAGAAATAAAATTGTGCTTCTCTCGGGGCATGTGAGGCAGACAGATGATGAAGAAGACAAAATTTGCTTTAAAAGTTAAATATAAATTTTACAGTGCACTTTACAAATTTTATACAGTACATGTACTAATTGTACAAATTTCATCATGTTACCATTGATAAGATGTGTATATATGCAGACCAAACTGTCAACTTATATATTTTTAAGCTAAGGTAACTAAAGGCCACTGCACTTAAAAAATCCCATCCTTGACTTTGTGCAATCCTTGCCATCAGATTTATGTTTGGGTTGCAGAACCTGTCAACCATGCAAACAATGCTGCAAATTGTCCCACAGCCAAAATAGTGCATAAAAGGGGCCATTATGGCAAGTGTCAAAGTGCAGGCTGCTTTGGTGGCATTTTTATGACTCAAGGAAATACCGGTAATCTGTGTGTGGGTGCAGCAGCCCTACTGGTGCTATGCTAGTAACTCTAAACAGAGCTGGTGACAAAGGCCTTGATCATCATGTGCATGTATGTAAATTGTTTTCCAGAGTTTCAGTGTGTATACATACATGTACATATTGGTATAGTACAAGTACATGTACATGTGCACGCACACATGTACTGTACATGTACAGCACTGGCACACAACACAAGAACACATGTCAACGTTGTAAATGTACTTTTCCACTACGGGAGAAAGACCATTCAACGGTACATGTACGCAAATGTATATATACATACGCAAATGTAAATGTATGCAAATGTACATGTACATGTACATGTACATGTATGCAACCTGGAAATTATGCACACTACGGTGTAACCTGAATCACCTCATAAATTAAAGATCTTTGAATGCAGAAGTTGCAAGAAACTGAATTACAGAGACAAAGGATGCAAACTTCTCAGTTTCAAACAAAACGACACACAGAATTTCCAAAACATGAGAATTATTGGCATGGAATGTTACACATACAGTATGTGAGAACCATGCCTTCTTGATGAAGAGAGAGCAAACATACGCAATCGCAGGACAATCAAGATGTGTCCCTTCATTTTACATTCATGTACTGGTACCTGTACATTAGCCAATTTTGCATCAATGTACATTGTGAAGGGCCATCCATTCGCATAGCTCTATGACGCACATGCACATGTAGGCTCACAGGATGGAAAAAAGATGCAAGCTTAAATGCAAGTTATAAACTGTAGACAAATCATAATAAAGAATTGAAAAGATCTATGGATGATGAAGTTATGAATATATACACATGTATTATGCTGAACCAGAACTTTTCAAAAACAAGGCTGATTGTGGCTCTTTAACCCCGCAGAACTTGTGTCAGTGAACCCTTTCAAATTTGCATTAAATCAGGCAATGGCTTTTTCACCTGACTCTACCGATCATTGCAACAAAAATGACAAACCATGCCACTGGCTCTCATTAAGCACGCTGGCTCCACACCTGGTTCAGGACTGCTCTGGACTCCCAGGGACCTGGGCCGGCAGGCCGGCTGGGGGAGAATTCCCTTCCGTCACATTCGTTTCCAGTCACCTCGGAATATCGGAGCAATCGAGAGTGCAATTTTGTTATTTGCCTGAATCACAACACCCGGGCATAAAGTCTTTCATGATCAGCTCAGCATGTGCAAATCCCATCTGGTATTATCATGGAGCACTGTCTTGTTTGCAGCATGGTCCGTTGGTTCAGGTGAAAGCTACTCAATTGTTCAAAGACCTGTTGCTGGTGGACCAACCACAGGTTCCAAAGTAAACACAGATTTCTCCCATCAGGCAGTCAGTGTATACAGCAACTTCAGATTACAGGTTCAATGTACCTGCATGTAAATGTTCAAGTATGTACCTGTACACATGTGCACAACTGCCCTGGCCGGCAGGGAACAATTTCTTCTGTAAAGCAATTTGGGGCCGTACTGCACTATATGAGGACATTCATTTGTCCTCAGTCACAAAGACTGCATTGTTCAACCGGTGTGTAATCCCCAAAACTATGTATATTAGATGTATGGGGGTACATGATGTATGCATGCAAAGTACATGTACCCCAACGTGCTCTGAATTTTTCATAAGGGTTGCTCTTGAAGTGTTCAGCTTCAGGGAACTGACATCAAAAGCTAGCCTAGGGCATGCGGTCACTGAACTTAGTGTGGGTTGAAGTCAAGGCATTTATTTCTCATGTGTTCTGTTTCACTATTTTCTCCTACATGCGAATGTAGTTCATGTACCAAAGGGTTAAATTATGGTCGAACATCTGAAACTATCCGACTGTTCATCTTGTTACATTTGTATTCAAGAACAACGGCAGCAGACACTTCACATGGCAGCTCATCTGACATTGGCAAATGAGTGACAGGAGGCTGAGAATGTCCAAGCACTCTGTGCCTGATTTCAACCTCAGTGAACAAAACCACATACGTTTCATTTGCCAGACAGCTTGACATCTAGGGCAATCAAATCAAAGAAGATCAATTATTCCCAATTTGTACACGAGTGCGAAATTGAAAATCCAGTCTCCCCCCCCCAGCCCTGCACGGCAATTATTGCCAAGCTTTGCATCATTTTTATTGCCA